CTGTCTCTTATACACATCTAGATGTGTATAAGAGACAGGGCCAAGGCCATGAAACTGAAATTTATTCCATCCAATTCTGCCTTTAAGTTAAGTTATAGCATTCATATCTAGCAGTTGCACCCATTTCCCCCACCCACCTGCAGTCAAAGTCTCAACCAAAATGTTTTATTCTATTTAGAATAGATAGCCTACAACATGAGCTTTCCAATGGTACAAAAACTTTGAAATTGGCTCATTAGAAACCTACAAATGATAGTTTTTCCAAAAAAAGTGACAGAAGTTGGTACATTTTGGGGGTGAAATTGAAAATAGGAAAAAATTCATATCTTTTTCATTTTTTGACCTACTTCACTCATACTTATATATTTTTCTAAAAATTTTTTCTCTATTCAGTGGTATAATTTTCATTACAATCAAAGGAAAAATTTTTTTTGTGCACATAGGTACCTACCTACAATATAGGGTAAATGCGGTATATTCCAACGCTTTAAGGACATAGCAAAAAATGAATGGCTATAAAAATACTCGAGTTCAGTTTGCTTTACATAACTCTCAAAACACTGCACTACATGCCAGCAACAATGAAACATCACAAAATGTTGCCATATTTAATTAAAAGCCTTTAGAATGCAAACCTACCAAATCCATACATTCCGACGCTGTGTGTGACTCAATTTGGCATTTTGTGAGACTAATTCCGGCTGCGCTTCAAACTCTACTAATTCGCCAGGGTGTAGACTCTACACCCTCTACACTGTAGAGGGTGGATGCTGATGCAGCATCGCCAATATATGGGTTTTTAAGCCCTAAGCATCACCGGGTAATTTTAAGATGCGTTGCTGGGTAATTTTTCACGAAGTGCCATTTATGCTGAGTAATGAAAAACTATTTACAAGGTTGCATACACATGTTACCCCAAATAACTAATTTTACCCTAAAAACAGTCCGATTGTACAGCAAGTGTCAACTGAACATGTGATAATGCAGTCTGACTGCTCTAATGTGACTGCAACTACGTAATCCTAAACTTGATGTTTACATTTTTTTGGTGGGAGCTCATCGCAACTGATTTCCGGACACGCTTCACTGCATCCTGATCCATCCAACATACCGGAAACCTTACTTTTTTTAAGTAGTTGGCCAAAGACCTACAAATATATTAAATGCAAGAATTTCAATCTAAATGTGTTAGCAAGATTTTTTGAAGGCGTAAATTTTGCTACTGAAGCGTCGCCAAAGATCTTGGAATATTCATCCACTCTCTGCACAGTGGCTAATTCGTAATGCCGACACCAGGGTTGGCGATTTTTTTGATTTTTTTTTAAAAAATAAAAAAAATCAAAAATCAATGATTTTTTTTTTATTTTTTCATGATTTTTTGATTTATTTGATTTTTTTTATTTTTTCACCTTTTTTGTCTTTTTTGAGGTGTTATTTTTTATGTTGCAATTAGCCTACTAACAATAACAGTATATGGATCATAATGGATGGCTAAAAAGGGCACTTATTG